AAGTTCGGAGATGGGGAGGCAGCTAGTGCCATGCAGCATGATCTTCCAAAGAAAGAACGGGACCCCGGGGGTTTCGTGATAAGAATTGCTCTCGGGAACGGAAAAGAGGCTTCGAGGATGCTTGACCTCGGGGCGGGAATCAACCTTATGCCGTTCTCGATCTTTCAGCGGTTGGGTCTTGGTGACTTGAGACCAACCCGTATGTGCCTCCAGCTAGCTGACCGTTCGATCAGATACCCCAAGGGGGTAGTTGAGGATGTCCTTGTTCGTGTCGGGAAGCTCATTGTTCCGGTAGATTTTGTCGTTTTGGATGTGGGGGATGTGCACGAAAACGGGAAGGATCACACTATCCTTCTCGGCAGACCGTTTATGGCCACCACCAACACCCTCATTGATGTCAAGAACGGGACCTTGAACATGACTGTCTTAGGTGAATCCGTATCTATCTCAGTCCGGGAAGCCACATCTACATCTGCAGTTAACTTTGTGGAGGAGTGTGCCTTCGTTGATGTAGCAGATTCGTTCGTGGGAGAGATGACCGTACAAGACCTGGAGGAAAGGTCCTTACCTGATCTTGATGAGGGAGAACAGCCAACCATCGAGCTCTTTGTAGCAGACGAGCCCGACAAATCGAACCCATCCACACTAGAGCTTAAAGAACTTCCTCGCCACCTCAAATATGTGTTCCTCGACGATGAGAAGCAAAAGTCGGTTATCATCTTTGCTGAGCTTAACCGGGAAGAGGAGAAGGAGCTGATTGAGGTACTTAAGAGGAACCAGAAGGCCATTGGCTGGAGCCTAGGAGACATTAAGGGCATCAGCCCTTCCACGTGCATGCACCGTATCATTCTGGAGGAGGGTGCTAAGCCTGTTCGGGACAGCCAACGGAGGCTCAACCCGTACATGATGGAGGTTGTGAAGAATGAGGTGCTGAAGCTCTACTCCGAGGAACTCATCTATCCAGTGGCCGACAGCGAGTGGGTCAGCCCGATCCATGTGGTGCCTAAGAAAGGGGGCATCACCGTCATCGAGAACGAAAAGAAAGAGATGGTCCCCACCCGTATCACTACCGGGTGGAGAATGTGCATTGATTACCGGCGACTCAATGTCGTAACAAAGAAGGACCACTTTCCGTTGTCGTTCATTGATCAGATTCTTGACCGTCTCTCAGGCCACCAATTCTATTGTTTCCTCGACGGTCTCTCGGGCTACTACCAAGTGGCCATAGCTCCGGAGGATTAGCCCAAAACAACTTTCACGTGCCCATTCGGCACCTTTGCTTTCAGGCGGATGTCATTCGGCCTATGCAATGCACCCGGGACCTTCCAACGGTGCATGTTCTCCATATTCTCCGACATGCTCGAGGACTGCTTACAGGTATTTATGGATGACTTCTCTATTTTTGATACTTCATTTTCTGATTGTCTCAATAACTTATCTCGTGTCCTTGAGAGATGCATTAAATGTAATTTGACCTTGAGTTGGGAGAAAAGTCACTTCATGGTGACGAGTGGAGTTGTGTTGGGTCATGTGATATCTAGTCGTGGAACTGAAGTTGATAAGGCAAAAATTGATTTGATTGAAAAACTCCCCCCTCCTGTGAATGTTAAGGGAGTTAGAAGTTTTTTGGGTCATGCTGGTTTCTATAGGAGGTTTATAAAGGATTTTTCGAAAATTAGCCAGCCTTTATGTCACTTGCTTGCTAATGATGTGCCATTTGTGTTTGATGATGCATGTGTTAGATGCCTTTGCTAAATTGAAAAATAAGCTTGTGACTGCACCCATTGTTATAGCTCCTAATTGGTCATTGCCTTTTGAGATTATGTGTGATGCATCGAATCATGCTGTGGGGGCTGTTTTGGGCCAACGAGTTGATAAATTGCTTCGTGTGATTTATTATGCTAGTTTGACTCTCAATGGTGCCAAATTGAATTATACTACCACTGAGAAAGAACTTTTGGCTGTTGTGTTTTCTCTTGAAAAATTTAGGTCTTATATCTTGGGATCTAAAGTAATTGTGCATTCAGATCATGCAGCTCTTAGGTATCTTTTGAGTAAAACTCAATCGAAACCTAGGCTTATTCGGTGCATTCTTCTTTTGCAAGAGTTTGATGTAGAGATTAGAGATAGAAAAGGGTGTGAAAATGTTGTTGCTGATCATTTGTCTCGTATTGTTCCCTCTGAACCTTCACTTGCATTGCATGAGCATGTTGGTATAAATGATGACTTTCCATATGAGCATGCGAGTGAAGTGACTAATTTTCCTTGGTATGCTGATATTGTCAATTACTTGTCAGATGGTGTCTTGTTGGCTAACCTCTCTTCCCAAGAGAGGAAACATTTTCTGTTGATGTGTAGGAGTTACTTTTGGGATGACCCACTCCTCTTCAAAGTGGGAAAGGATGAGATTCTTCGGAGGTGTGTGCCCGAAGAAGAGCAATTGGATGTCCTCACCTTTTGCCACGAGCTTAACTGTGGAGGACATTTTGGAGGACGTAAGACCGCCTTTAAAGTTCTCCAATCAGGTTTATTCTGGCCAACTCTTTTTAAGGATGCTCATAATTTTTGTAAATCATGTGACCGATGTCAAAGAATTGGGAACATTGGTTCTAGAAATGAAATGCCCCTAACGAACAATTTGCAAGTTGAGATTTTTGATGTTTGGGGCATTGATTTCATGGGACCGTTTCCCAAGTCTTTTGGCTTCGAATATATCCTCCTTGCTGTAGATTACGTGTCCAAGTGGGTCGAGGCTATCCCCACACGAACATGTGATGCTAATCTCGTTATAGAGTTTTTGCGAGGAAATATCTTGAGCAGGTTTGGATTTCCACGTACCATTGTGAGCGATGGGGTAAACATTTCTGTAATCGGATTTTTGAGAAGTTGATGAAGAAATACGGAATTTCGCATAAGGTGGCCACCCCATACCATCCGCAGACTTCGGGGCATGCAGAAACGAGCAACAAGCAGATTAAGATTATTCTTGAGAAGACGGTGAATTCGTCTAGGAAAGATTGGTCGAGCAGGCTCGATGATGCACTCTGGGCCCAAAGGACGGCATACAAGGGAGTATTGGGGATGAGCCCGTTCCTGCTCGTCTACGGGAAACCATGCCATTTGCCGGTTGAGATCGAACACAAGGCCTTCTGGGCAATCAAAAAGATGAATTTCGATCTTGATGCTGCCGGGCGAGAGAGGATGCTGCAACTCTCGGAATTAGAAGAGTGGAGAAATGAAGCCTATGAGAATTCCAAAATCTACAAGGAGAAGACAAAAAGGCTTCATGATGCCACTCTTGTTCGGAAGAACCTCGAGCCCGGAATGAAGGTACTCCTCTTTAATTCTCACCTTCGTCTTTTTCACAGGAAGCTCAAGTCACGTTGGAGTGGACCGTATATTGTTGATGAAGTATTGTCATTTGGAGCCGTCCGTTTGCGTAATCCGGCAAACAACGATTTATTCTTGGTTAACGGGCAGAGAGTGAAACCATACGTTGATGGCGAGTTCGAAAAAAGACATGTCGAGACCGTCAGTCTCGGTGACCCTATCTATGCGTGATCAAGAAATTATGCCGAGCTCCCGGCATTAAACCGAGTATCCTTGTACTGCTGTGTATTTATTTTTTTTCTTTTATATATATATATATATAAGTATTTATATTTCTATTAAAAAATTATCGCCGCGGGCTGCGAGGTTTACTTCACCGCGGCCGCGGCGACTGATATGTCAAATCCAGATACCAATTTCTGCAGGTAAATGTTCGCGGCCACGAAGCTTTCCCGCAACCGTGGAGGAGGGTCGCGGCCGCGGAACCATTCTTCACCGAGGCCTCGGCGACGTTTTTCTCGGTCCAGGGGCGAAGTCCAGCATCCAAAATCTCGCGGCCATGGAGCAACTTCGCGACCGCGGAGTCGAGTCGCGGCCGCGGGACGTATCTTCGCCGCGGCTGCAGTGATGTAACACTCGCCAATCCTTCATTTCTGCATCTAAAATCTCGCGGCTGCGGGATAAGGTCGCGGCCGCGGCGACAACGTTGGCAAGTTTTGTTTTTTTTAGTCCTTTGGAGACAGACGAACACACAAACTCGAGCTTCTCAATCTCACGCATCCCTCGCTCCAAATCACTTCTGTCTCCTCTGCCCAACCGACGACCACTGCCGAGCAACCGCCTTCCGGCGACGTCCCTCCGGCATCCCGCGATCTCCGGCGACACCAGCACCCTCCATCTTTTGCAAACCACGCGCGGGACTTCCACCCTCCGAACCCTATCTCCTCCAACAGCCCGAACCATCACCGTCGCCATAGTCTCTCCGGCGACTCTCCGGCCGTTTCCTCCTCAGTCATCCGGCGACCTCCGACCACGAGTCCCGACGGTTCACATTCCGTCCGCATTTGTTTCTCATACCTAACTCGTGGATTGTCGATTTCGGGCCAAAATTAGCACGACAAGGTACCGATAGCTTACTCTACACTTGCTTGGTTATTGTTGAGGCGTGAGGAGGCCAACTCCAGGATTGAGCCGTTTCGAATTGTCCACAAGTTTTTAGTTCAAAGTTCCGCACGCCACGTGTTTGACATATTGCCCGAAAGATGGTTCGAAAGGGCACGACTCCGGATCGTCCCACCAAGAAGAAAACCACTCAAGAACCGGCTAAGAAGCGCAAAGCGGGCGAGTCCTCCTCTCGAGATGACCTTTCGGACCAATACGGCGCTCCGTTCCCGATTTATTCTCGAAAAGAGGGCGAGATTTATGCCCGTCTCTCGCAAAAAGAGGTCGTGAGACCGAAGGCGGTGGACTGGGACCTCTTGAACGACTTGGGCATTCTCGAGGACGTGATGAAGTACCTCAAGGTTTTGAACCTAACCGACTACGCTAAAATAGAGGAGAGGTCGCATCGCACCCTCATGCTTGAGTTCTTCAGCACTTTCGTTCTCTCCGATGGGAACAAATACTTCATTTGTCGGCTTAAGGGGAAGGATTTCACGGTGGACAATGACGTAATGAAGAAAGTCTGTGGTTTCAATTTCTTCGGTACGAGAAGCAAAGCCCTCGATTTCGACGCTAAGAAGAGTTGGGCCGAGCTTTTCCCGCATACGACTTGGGTTTCCGCTGGCATGTCCAATGGGCTTATCGAAGACCTGGCCACTGCCGTTGTGCATAGGTTCATCTGCTACAACATTACCGACAAAAAACAGGCGAATAAAGTCAGTGAGGTCGAACTTTTTCTCCTATGGGCGATGCGAGCGGGGGTGCGGGTGTGTTCGATGACTTTCCTTCAGAACTCTTTACAAGAGATTGCCCTCACTCGGCGTGGATTACCGGCACTTGGGCACTTTGTTACCGCACTCGCGAACCATTTCGACATCACCCCCGAAGCCTACCGATTACATGGAGAGATAGCGCTTCAAGAGAGGTCTGAGATGCGATGCCTAAACTACAATGAACTCAAGCAAGCCGACCTTATTCAGAACCGGACAACGGCTAAAGAGTACACGAAGCGCACTGCCTACGACACCTATTTTAAAAGGCTCCAGCAGGGCCAGCCTACTTCCGACCCGGCAGGATCGTCTCGGCAACCGACGGCAGGCGACGAGCATGAGCAGATGGATGTCGACGATGATCATTTCCTTCCGCCGCCACCCGAGTGGACGCCGGCTCCGAACCCTCACCAGGAGATCCCTCCACAGCAGCCACCGGAATGGTGGACCACATTTCAGACTCAGTACACAGCCGACATCCGCTCTCTATCCACGATCGTTTCGACGCCCAGGACAGCAGATGGGCTACCCTCGAGAGCCGACAGACCACGCAGTGGAGCAGCTGGGAGACCCAGCAGCAGACTCGGTGGGACCACTGGGAGACCCAGCAGCAGACCCACTGGACTCAGCTGGGTATGCATTTCGATAGCTTCGCTGGCGGTCTCCAGTCCATCCGCGAGTGGCAGGACCAGTAGGACGCTCGGATGAACAGCTGGGACCAGAGATTCACTCAGTGGGACACCCGTTGGGGTTCGGCTCCCAGTCAACCTGACCAGCCACCATCACCTCCGGATGCACAGTGACTTGTCACTGAGCTTTGTATGTTCTCTTTTTCCCCTTCTCTTTTTATTTGTGTATAGCTTCTTTGTTTTTGTTTTTGCGTTGGTCTGTTATATGGTTTAACTCTCCTTCACCGCGACTCGACAATGGGGACATTGTCTGATTTTAAGTGTGGGGGAGTTTTACATGCTTATGTGACTATGTGGTGGATCAGGTCTAGATTATCTTTTTCTTTAGGGTTATTTTTATTTTCTTTCCTTTTGCGTGGACCAGTCTAGTTTAGGTTTATGTGTTCTTTGTGAGCTTGGACTTTGGTGTATTGGAAGACTAGTTGATGATTGGTTGATTGAGTTAGGAAGTTGTGATGATGAGAATGAGTGGCACATTTTGATGAATTGGCTTGGTTGTTTTGTTGACATTTATTTTTCCTTGTGAGGCTTTGAGCCACATTCATTTCTTTTCTTGTGAGTTAATTGGTCGGAATCGTTGTCAATTAGAATTTTCCTTGAGTCTGCTATGAAATGAAATAATTGGATTTGTGAACGTGAATATGATTGAGGCATTCTTTGTATTTCCCTTCCCTTTTTCTTTTTCTGAGAATAATGTCGCTAGTCACCCCATTTGAGCCTTATTGATTTTCTTTCTTTTATAACCTCGTGACGATGATGTTGTGGAGTTGCGGGCATATGGTTGGAGAGAAACCGAATGGATTAAAAATTTCCAAAGGTTCTCACACACAAAAAAAAAAAAGAGGAACCGAATGGATTACGTAAAATTTTCAAAGGTTCTCACACAAAAAAAAAGGGGAAATTACTTTAGAAATGGTGAATAAGTGGGTAGTAGGTCGATTTTGGAGTAGTGGGAGGAACCGGTTGGTGTCATCAACCGGAGGAGTTCGTGACTACGGTTATCTGAATGAGTTTAGTTGATTTTTATTTAGCCAGTTAGCCTATATTTATCCTACCCAGTCCAAAGAGCTTACATTACAACCCTTAAAGTCCTCTTAATTTATTGTTTCACAAATTTGATTATTTCATAGTAGGAGTTAGACGATAGGCAAATTTACGATTGATTCGATTGTCGACCAATTTGAGTGTACCCAGTGATATTTGAGAAAGAAATTGAGTGAGGCATATATGATGCACTTCTGTACTCGAGAGTTGATGTCATTCAAAATGGCCAAGTTAATAGTTGGGGTGTGTGCTTGTGATCATTTGAATTCTTCTTGGCTTGGTAGATTGGTTTGAGATTAGTCTTGCTTGAACCGTTGTCCTTGCTCGTTTGTTTGTTCTTCTTTTCTTTTCTTTTTGTTCGGGACGAACAAAGGTTTTAGTGTCGGGGAGTTGTTCGTTCCACTTTTGTCATGTTTTTCTTGTTTATTTTATGCTTATTTTTCCCCTCCTTAGGTATTTTTCTTTGGTTTTTGGTTCTTTTTGAGTTGTTTCGTGCATTTCCTTTGTTTTAGTCGTTTGTTGGTCTTTTTGTTCGTTTTTCCCGGTTTTTCGTGTTTCTTGTCGGTGGTGATGTGCAGGTTTGGTGGCTCGGTGCATGGCCATGCGAGGTTCATCGTCTAGATGGATGAGTTGGGGTCGTATTGGAGAAGACGGGATTAAATTCCGAATCCGGATGCGAGAACAAGAACCCAAAAATTTGCCGTGCAGAAAACGCTTGTCGCGGCCGCGGAAGAGGAGAAGTCGCGGCCGCGAGATGTCCAAAAATTTGATTTTTCTGACCCGTCGAGCTCGCGGCCTCGGGGACGGTCGCGGCCGCGAGATTTTCTTCGCCGCGGCCGCGGGAGGCTAAGTCGCGGCCACGGGGGTCGCGACAGCAGTTATTTTATTTTTGCGACTTTGTTCAGTTTTTGGACGGATTCCTTTCACCTAGGTTTTGAACGGCTCTCATTTTTTTTTTTTTTCACTCCAGAACAGATTTTTCTCTTAGTTTGATTAGGATTTGATCTTGGATTGTGAAAACACCAAGATTAAGCTTTTGGATTTGGATTGCTCGGGTTTCTTTCACATTGGATTCATATTTATCGTAAGCTTTCTTTTACATTTCATTGATGAATGTTATGGCTTTGTTTGATATGAATGTTTGTGTTAGAATCACTATGAGTAGCTAAATTCCCTAGCTAGGGTTAGGGGATTGCCGTTCCGGTTCGATCTCGTTTACATGCTTGATAATTACTCCATCTTTTCGAGTTGTGCTAAACATAGGGTTTAGATGTTTGATCTCCATCTCAATCTAATTAATTGATTTCAAAACTGAAAGGGGAGAAATCGATTGATCTATGCTCGTTTAGAATAGGCTTGTTCGGTGACGTATTGTCTATCTGCTGATTGGTTCGATAAGTGCTCGTTTATATTTATTCTCTTGTTTCGTGAGATATTGAGAATGAATCTCTAAATGGTTAGTTTTTCGAGTCCTTCGGCCGAGTAATTGATTGCCCATTAAATGTTTTGAGAACCGGAAGCGATTATCCCCGAAACCCTAGCCTCTTTATTATTTTTTGAATTTGTGCTTGGAGTTGTGAGATTTGAATAGTTAGGATTATCTTTATAATTCGTAGTAGATAAATCAAACCAAATTAATCTGATTAGAATGTTTAGGATTTAATTTCTCTTTTTGTGATTGAATATTCGTACGAAGTAATCCGGCTGACCTTCCTTGAGATACGACCCGGTGTTCGAATCTTTCGATTCTACTCCGGTAAAAATAACTACAACAAGCTACAAGGTTCCTTCTTGTTTCTTGCATCCCGTCAGACTTAATCAAGGTAATCTGAGAGGAATTTTGCTTTATTAATTGGACATTGACCCGTCACATACCATAACATTTATACTATTGTTTTTTGTTCGGACATTGATTTTTTAGATTGATGGATTTGATGGACTTTATTAGAAAGTCACACAGAGATGTCGGCAGCGCCAGACACACGCAAACCTCATCGGCCGGTGTGGACACCACAATCACACACCAATCTTCTCTAAAACCTTATAAAATATTGGAAATTTGTGCAAGAGATGTTAGGATATTACATATTTTTCTTTTTCTTTTCCCTTCGTCGAATGCGAACAAGTTGTTCGATGAAATGTCGAATTGACACTTGTTTGGTTTTGCCTCCAAAAACTGAAGAGCTTATGTGAATTACACATTATGTTTAAAAGTGCAATTTAGCGCGCTACATAGCACGAAATAACGTAAATTTGTTCGAAAACGCGCCATTGCGTCTGTAATTTTGCGTAGTTCCAACAAAGCATACGCTTTTGACGACGTGGCACGCAGTTTACGCAATAGCGTACATGATTTACGCTATAGCTTAAATTACACATGCTATTTGGGACCCTTAATTAGTTTCCAATTTTTATAGGCAGGAAAAAAAAGGCAGAAAAAAAAAAAAGAGAAAAAAAAAATCGAAGGCAACGAAAGTCACAGTCAGAATTCACGAAACCCTCGTTTCACTTCTCTTCATCATCTCCCTCTCTTCCCTCCACCGCAGCCTCCACATATCCACCACAGCCCAATGAGAGTAGGAACTCCGCCGCCTCCACGGCTTCACCTCAGCCTCCTCATAAGCTTCTTCTCACATCGTTTGGTTCCTCGACTCTCTCTCGCCTCTCGCCCGACTATCGGCATCCCCAAAGTCCCTTCTCTCGGCTCTCTGTACCCTACATCCCCTGCTCCTCGACTTTCGACTCCAAAGGTGTCATTTTGTTTTTCATTTGAGATTATGAATAGCTTCACGGAACTTCAATTGAATTTGGGCCTCTTCTAGTGAATGATTTATATTTTTTTTTTTAATTGGAATGATTATTTATTAAATTAATAGAGTGGGATATAAGGATTGATTGAGCTGTATGTTTCTAGGATTGCATTTTTTTTATGTGTATTTGCCTATTTGCTGACTTGTTGGTTGGTCTGATGGGTTTTTTTTTTTTTTTTTATGATTCTAGTTCATAGAAGTATAAAAACAGATGAAACTCTGTTTAATTTGATGATTCTATTTTTTCTCAAGAATATGCAGCTCTGTTTTATTAGTCAGTAGAATTAGTACTCAGTATGGAACATATAAGACGATTATTAGTGAAAATCTCCCACACTTTGATAGTATTGACTATGATAGCTAAATTCAATTGGATAAGACCGATTTACTTTGAAGATTATGACTTTGGGTTGTTTGTATTAACTAATATATAAAATGTTTTTTAGATTTAATGTCCAAGTTTATGATTTAAGTCTATTTCAATTATTTATTTACTTGCATGGTTATATATATTATTATTATTTTTGGCATTAAAAGTGAACTGCTCGAATAGCTTACGCAATGCGCTACGCTACTTACGCTATGCAATATAAGGACCAAAACGAGACGAGATGCGCGATGCGCATTTTAAAACACTCGAATTACCTATGGGGTTCATACTCAACATGATTTTCTTAGAGTCTGGTCGATTGTCTCAATCTTACTGTTAAAAAATTTCGTTTCCTTTTACTCACAGGTAAAGCAAGGACCATCAAATGTCAAGCTATCTGTGGAGGAAATATGCACTATACGTGACCACCAAGTGGGAGAGGACCCTTCTGTG